GGCCGCCCCCTCTGCGGACGACGCAGGTGCCGATGCCTGTGCGCCTCGTGCTTCGGAGCGTAACGGGTGAGAACGGGAAAGAGCACGTGTTGTGGAATGAAACAATCTTTCTGTGGGATCTCGCGGGAGCCTCCCACACCATCCCGCTGGCTTTTTCGAATCGACGCTAACAGACGCTAGTCGACGCTGGTCGACGCCAGCCGACGCTAAGTCGACGCCAATCGACGCCAGTCGACGCTCACCGACGCAAGACCAGCGCTTTCTCATCGATTGCCAGACGCTGGTCTACGCTAGTGCATCCTAGAGTTATGATGTTCCAACCTACTTTAGCCTTGCTTGATCACCAGAAAGGATTTCGAGCACCAAAACAATACCGAGACTCGAGGGTTTTCACGTTTCGGGCCCTCGGAGGCACTCGTCCGACACTGTTTCGACCCTGTTTTGACACTCTTTCGACACTTTTCCAGGTGGCAAAAATTATTCCTGGGATGTGGTCCTTAAGTACGATGGGAGCAACATAACCTTGAATCATTACCCTTCAGTCGGGCCTGTCCTTCTACAGGGGGAATGTTCAACAAAAAAGTACAAACAATCGGGGACGATTTTTTTGAGCATTTTTGAATATGCTTTGAATATTCTTAGGGTATTTTTGTTTTTTCGTCCCAAATCCGCCTGTAGGGGGACAGGCCCGACCCAAAATTACCTTCGTAATTCCGAATTCCGTCTCCAGAGTCGATTCGCGTCGATTCGCGTCGACTTAGCGTCGATTAGCGTCGACTAGCGTCGGTTTAGCGTCGATTAGCGTCGACTAGCGTCGATTTGCGCCGATTCGCAAGAGCCGACAAGATGGTATTGGAGGCTCCCGTGGGTTGCCACCGAACTAGGATCTTCACATATCGATCCGGTTCGAAAACTGGTCACCGAGCGCGTTCCACTACTCGCAAAGTGCCTACTCGCAAGCGCCCGAACGAATTGTCTTCTTCTGTGTAATGGGTCGTAGATCCTTCGCGGCGGATCTAGGTCATTTACGAATAGTTACTTTGCGAGTAATGGAACGCGCTTGTCTCATTGGAGCAGACACATGGGGTCTAGGGCTCCGGTCGTGCTTTTATGCGACGGTTTCATTTTTCGCGCCGTCGGATTTCAGGAGAGGGCGCTAGTCGGTGGCGAGCCCAGGGGGGGGGGACGGCAGAGGGGGCGGGCCTTCCTGGAAGCCTCGGAAGGCCTGTGGCCTCCCGAGAACTTCTCTTCGGAGCCCTCCCCGAGGGCGCAGGCGGCTCCTCGGGAGGCCACGGGGCTTCTGCGACGCCCCGCTGCCTCCGGACCCAGAGATCCGGCGCCCCACAAAACTTTTGGGCGGGCGGATTTTGGGCTGATCTCGGCCTCCTGGGGCCTTCGCTGGACCTCGGGAGCGTCGGAGAACGATCCAGGGCGAAGAGCTGGCCCTGCAGGGAAGTGGTCCAGACCTCTGGGGCCCACGCACCGAAAACGTCGGAGCAGCCGGATGTCCGGGGGAGTAGGCCCGCGCCTGTTAGCTCTTCCCCAGGCGTGCTGCCGGGCTCGATTTTCGGATCGTGGCTCGGATGTCCTTCGGCGCGGTGACACGCTTCCGCCGCCCCGTCTGCTGGTCGGGCTGGGCATGTGGCGACGAGTCTTTGGGATGTTCCCGAGCCCCATTCAGGGCGCGCGCGCGGGGTTCCGTGTGGCCACTACCACCTCTTAAGCGCGCGCGCCCATTGTCAGAAGCTCATGCGCCGATGGCCCGTTGGACCGCCGGATCTGCACTCCCTCGCGCAGCCGGCCATGATGAAGCATCCCCTTTTCTCGTGACGAAGGGGCAGCGAACCCGGTCTATCGTCGTCATCTCGGCATCCCTGCTGCGGCCGCTTCTTCTCCCCTCCCTCCCCCCTTCTTCTCCTCTCACTGGTACCTCCCCCCTCCTCCCTCCTCAATCCCGCCATGCGTAGCTTACGGCGTCAGTCCAGTCAAAGGAAACCTTCTTCACAGGTGCCGCGACCAGACCTTTCTCTGGATCCATCAGGGGGCGCGCGGGCGTACACATAATTGCAGGCGGAATGAGGAGGCGGAGGAGGAGGAGTAGGAGGAGGAGGAGGAGGAGGGGAGACCAGTGTAAACCATAACGATGTTGCAATAAACCCTCCCTCCAAGTTCCCTCTCCACAGGCTCCTAGGAACAAAAAAATATTCTCACTGCGGTAAGAGCCCCGTTGGAAGACAGCCGTCTGAGAATCTTCAACCGTGCCAAAGCATCATTTCTGCGACTTCAACGCCTCGAATCATTGCTACTGTCGCGACCACACGATGGTACACCTCGCCAGAATATCATGCCGGAGACGTGAAAACCGCGAATCAACGTGACTGTCGTGACCTGACAACCCGAAATCGTGCCAAAACAGAATCTTTGGACGTCAACCATCCGATTCCTTGAAGCTGCTAGCAACTGTTGAGACGGATGTGGGGAGCCGTCCTCCATTCGTGGATCTCTTGCGCACCTTCCAAGCGAATGTGCGTGGCGCTGAGACGAGAGTCACATTTTGAAAACAACCCGCTCTCCATCCGTGAAGCTCTCGCAAACATGAAGACGAATGTGCACGAGGGGGAGGAATGGAGGGCGAGGATGAGGAGGGGCCCTCTTCTCTTTACTCCTGCTCCAATCGAATTCCAGCGGGGGCGATCGGCCTTCTCTTCTTTCTTCGTCTGGTTCTGCTCCCTTTCTTCCTCCTCCCCCCGAAGCAGCGATGGCAGCGACGGTGCAGACGTAGACGTTTTCTTATTGTTTCATTTCACAGCCCTCCTGAATGTTGGAATCTCGTTCTGATTCTAGCACTGTGGTCTCCATCCTCCTCCTCCGCCCCCTCCTCCTCCTCCTCCTCCACGTCCTCCTCTCCCCTTCTCCTCACTTCCCGTCGGCGACGCTCAGCTATTTCAACAGAGACATGCCCGATCTTTCTGCTTCGTACGTGCTGACTCAGGTAGAGGGGATTATGTCTCCTGGCGCTGGTGGTCTCCAGGGTGATGTGGCTGCGCCAGACGGGTTTATTAGCGTGCTGGACCCGTGCGTGGACATACGGATAGAGGCAACGGAGTCTGAGGAGGATCGCAACTTCTTTCGGGTCGTCGGGCCCATCGCCCAGAGGATTGCGAAGTTCGGACACGGTGCGTACGCAGACGACATATTTCGGATGAGCCTTTGTGGGGATGCAACAAAGATGGCCGGCCTGCGCCTCGATGCTCGGGATCGCTCGCTTGATATACACGCCAGCGTCCCCACTGGGCCCCTGGGCTCGAGCAACATGGCGTCAAACAGGCGATCTCGCTTCGTGCTTATGGGCGTGGCTCACAGCAGGCCATGCAGCAGTTCTACAACACGCATGGGATCACATATGAGGGGAACCCAGCAGTCGGTCTTCGGCATCTTGTGGCATGGCACCACCTCGAAGGCCATGAGACCTGGGAGCTCGGAAAACGTCATGATGCTGCACGTCTGGGGTGGAATGCTATGTGGAAGTTCCTGGCCAGTGGAACGCCATGCACGGCCAAATGTATTATATTCCAGGGGATGGTGGTGGACACTTTTTTTCGGAGTGGAATGCTGGCCAATATCAGAACTTACCGCTGACCACATCGATGGTTGTATTGCACAGCATGCTCGGGTCTCACAGGTGGGAGCGGGGACTAAACATATGTACGACGGGGAAGGGGACAACCCATACTGCGGCACACGATCTAGCTACTCTTTTCGACGTCGGCTTCATCGACATGCCATGAACAGTATGCTACGCTATAGACGTCTCAGATGGATAGACGAGATCAGACGGCTGGTCATCTGACTAATTGTGCTGTACTACTAGGTGCTCTGACGGGGGAGGGGAAGGGCCAGGCTCAGCTTACCTGTCGAGGTAAGCCCCACTATCGCAGTGTCCCATGGCGGAAACAGTCTGGGCCCGACCTGACTGTGGTAGAACGTTTGCGGAGGCCTGCTCAGGATGCTCTTTGGGCGAATGTGTGGTAGGCGTTTTTTCAGGAAGCCCAGCTCTTCCGACCACCCAGAGATATTCTGGATGTAGGTGAGGCGCCTGCTCATATGCGACCCTGTCTTTTTTTTTGGGGGGGGGGGTATTTATATGTACACATCTATATTTATAGATGCAAGAAAAAGAACCGATGGTGAACACGAGGAGGCGCAAGTGGATGAGAAGAGGACGCCGACCGCGAAGAGGACGGAGGAGGAGGAGGAGGAGGAGGAGGAGGAGGAGGATGAGGAGGAGGACGTCGAGCGCGCGTGGGCTCTGCGTCCCTAATGAGGAGGAGGAGGAGGAGGAGGAGGAGGAGGAGGAGGAGGAGGAGGAGGAGGAGGAGCAGGAGGAGGAGCAGGAGGAGGCGTGCTACTGCCGTCCTAGCCGCAGCAGGGCGAAGGAGTGGCAGGCAGCGCCCCGCCGAGCCTCGGAGTGCCCGGCCTCGCCTCGGGGCGCTGCCTCCGAGCAGGACTTCCCCGATGACGACGACGCCGGCAGCGCAGGCGTGGAGAAGGCCCAGGCTGCCCAGGCAGCGCCGTCCAGCAAGGGCACCTCGGCAGAGGGGGGCCCCCCCAGGGCGCGGGCCCCGACAGGCGGAGCAGGATCCGGCCCGAGCCAGAAGAACAGCGGGGCCCGCGAGCCCGACCACAACGCCACGGCCCGCGTGGCCGCGCGTTCCTCGCCACCGCGGCCGGACTCGGCTCGAGAAATCACCCCCTCGCAGAACCATCCGCGTCGAGGGCCGCGAAGGAGGTCCGCGACAGGGGCGGCGCCCAGGCCGCCTTCGGCCTGTTCGGCCCCATCGCAGCTATCCAGGTCTGCGCTGGCCACACGATGGTTTGCTTCGCGACCGTGGGGGCGTCTCAAACGGCCGCCGACCACGTGGACGGTGAGCATCTTCGGAGCAGGGCACACCAGGTCACCATCGTCGAGATCGAGGAGGCCGCGAACGACGCGGTCTGCG